CTGGGGAATTCTGGGAGTTGAAGTCCACTCATCTGAAAGTTGCCAAGGTTGAGAAACACTGCTTTAACCAATTGCAACACTGCTGCGTCTCTGGCAGTTCAGCAGCTTTGGGACACCTTAAACACGAAACCCCTTTATTATACCTGGTGCCTCAAGCTACAAGATGAAACAGGTGGCATAGGAGACAGTTTGGTACACGCCTGACTGATGGGAGAAACCCATGCAGGGCCCTGAAGCAGCACAAAAAGGGGATTTTTCTTTTTTCTTTTTCATCTCTTCCCGTCTCTGTTCCAACCTGTCTTTAAGGTCAAAGAGAAGACAGTGATGGTAGCGGCTGTTCCAATCACCTTTTTACAAGGGTGGCGATCTACAGACAGACTTTGCCTAGCTTCACGCATCGCATAAAATCCTGCTGTGTTTCATCATGTTTCGCATGTTAGTTACGCCTCCTCCGTAGTGGGGGAGAATCCGAAATCGGTCTTTGAATTCGCTGTCGCTAAACGTGAACCACTGGCAGCGTCACCAGTGGCCTATGTGCAAAAGGACTGACATCATAGCAGGAAAATGGGTGGCTAGTTATGACTATGGCATATAACATAGGTGTGTTTAAAATAATCTTATTTCCTCCTGAATCCAAATCAAGAGTTTAGGCAGAAGAGGACGCAGGAGATGTGTTATCCATTTTTTTCAATCATGGGCGAAGGGAAGGAAGAGAAATAACCAGAAGTGTCCACAGCATATGATTAAAAAAAAAAAAAAAGTTAAGATTAGGGCAACGATGGAGCAGTTGAAGTTCCATCTGCTTTTTAGGTATAGAACTTCAATTGCACCATCGTGGCCGCCATCTTGACTGTTTTGACCACAGCCTGCCGACACCCCTGGCGATAACACACTGGGGTAGATCAGAAGTCCTTTCCCAGTAATGCCACCCCTCCATAGGATGTGTCCAATGCATGGATGATTCGACCAGGCCAAATGAAGAAATCTGATCGAGAGCCTGTGGTTTTCACAGCAGTCAGGACATACAGCCTCCAGACACAGACCCTACAAATCTAGGAAGGTGATTTATTACGACAAACAAATGAGAGGTGTAACCCGTTTTTCTCCCCGCCCCGATCGTGTATCACCACGTTTGAAGGCATGCAACAAGCTGAGCTCTTTCAGAAGTTGTAAAAGTCCTGCTGTTCAGCCATAAAAGGGAGAGTTTTTTTCTGTTCAGCTTCAGGATTTATGTCTTCAGCTTCCTAACATTGATTTGGAGGGGAGAAGAAAGAAACAATAATTCAAGGTTTTCTTTGCAGACTTTTAAAATCTGTTACTTTAACTCAGGGTTTCTCAGCCTGGAGGACTTTAAGATGTGTGGACTTCAACTCCCAGAATTCCCCAGCCAGCCATGACCAAGGCTGAGAAACACTGCTTTAACTCATATGCCCCCTTCCCAAGAATTCCAAGCATTATGAATTTGCGGAAGGTTTATGGGGAATTCTCCATTGCAGATCCTTAGCACCTCAGCATGAAAAGGAAACACCAAAAGCAGCTTTCTTTTATGTACGCAGCAATAGAGTTAGCCAAAGATTGCTCCCAATGGGATTAAAAACATGCTCAGAAGCTAGCTTTCCTGATATTAAGTAGAGAAGGAATTACCCAGCTGACAGGATGCTGTTAGTTCTCACTGTTTAAAAGCTGCACTTTTCAAGGAAGAACATGGGAATTTGATGCCTGCATCCACTTACCTCACCAGAAAAATATTTCTCAATGAGGCCTAGGGCCGCGCGATAGACCAAGTTGTTCTCGTGAGTCTGGAGAGCTTCGATCTTCTCCACACCATCCAGCTCCTCGACCACAAGACACAACTTTTCTGTCTCACCCAACTTCTCAGCTGACTGGTATGGAAAAAGAAAACACAAGCAGTAGGTCAAACACTGACTTCCTACGTTGCACAGAACCATGGTTCAATCACGTTCAATTAAACAAGACACGTGGGCTGGATCTACCCACTTCCCTAAGCATAACGTGGTTTGCTTGGTTGGGTTTAAGGTAAAGTACTGTGAAATGAATTATCAGGGTTAGGCAACCATGGTTTTACAGTATGAGATCAAAGTCACTGAAAGGCCCTGCTTACACATCAAGGATATCTTTGAAGATATCTTCAACAGTTCCTATCAGGAGGAGCAGATTCATCAGCCACTGAAATGTCTTCTGGTTTAGTGTCTTGAAGAAACTAGGTTTTCTGATTTCTGCCTCCGTTCCCAGGGCCCACCAAGCCAAAGCTGAAAGAAGAGGTCCTACCCAAGCCATATATTAAATAAGCTGCAACGGTCACATCCTAGTTTCTGACAGGAGGAACCAAAGGAGTGGCTCCCAATAAATCAGAATTCTTAGCAATTCCAACTTGGTATGACATACAATTTCCTTCCATAGCCTTACCAGGAAGAAGTTAGAGAGACTGTCCAAGACCACGAGGATGGTGTTACTATCCTTGACAGACAACAAGTTGAGCAGAGGCTTGAGGACTCCAGCCTGGATAATTTCCACCACTTGCTCCACCGTGCCTCCCGTTGTGAAATTGGCCACAGCCCAAACAGCTTCTTTTTGAGCCTTGAAGTCTCCCTACGAATGGTAAAGTAGTACAGAACCTTAAGAAATATATAAACTCAGCTGCTACCATGATTATACATCTAACACCTTCACAAAAAGCACTCTGTTTGCGGTTGGCTGTTACTGGCAAACCTCTCTTCGCTGGAGTTAAAATTCTCTCTCAAAAACCCCAGAGGCTCCACTTTTAAAATCACACAACTTCCAACACTTTGGTGAGCCCTGAGTGATTTCATTCTAGATTCAGCTTTTGTTGTGAGTGGCTGCCATAAGCTGGAATGAGCTGTAAGCTTCATATCTCCTGCTTTGTACCCCTGCACAAGCAGGCGTTTTCCCCAAATTAGTAGCTATAAATTTAGAAACTTAGATTTTGCCTTTAAGGAAAAAAGCAGAATCCCAGGAAATGCTCCTGCATGTTTCCAAGATATTAGATATTCCATGTTATCCAGACCAAGTTGACGAGCATGTCAGCTGGCCAATGTCAATCTTCAAGCTTGATGATCTTACAAGTTTGTATATGCATATATGTATGTTTTGATGTGTGTGCATGTATTTTTCATATACTTATAATCAACTTGAAATCCTGATAGTGCAAAACTTTACCTTGGTCAGCAACTCTACCAGGGGAGGGAGTAACCCACAGGTGATAAGCTGCTGAATTTGACTGCATGGCCCAGCAGCAATGTTGCTCAGAGCCCACGCTGCCTCCTTCTGGACGGTTGACTTCGGATGACGTAAGAGCTGTGGTAGGACTGACAAGACACCTGCATCAATGGCCATCTGAGTCTGTTCATCTGTCCCGGTGACTACGTTGCCTATGGTACGTAGAGCTGGCGTCTGCAGAGATGTCCACCAAGAGAAAAAGAGACGCCATGGAGGTTCATCACTGAAGGCTACCACCAGCGGAAATGGGATGACCTTTATAGGGGTTGATCCCTCACTAGTGAAGCATTGCCTTCCCTTCAAGAAATAACTCTTACTTACCAGAATGGGCAACTCTGTGTTGTTCATGAGCTCTACAAGCCGTGGCAGGATCCCTGTCTCCACCACCACCTGGATGCGATCATTGGCACCATCGGTCAAGTAGGACATCGCCCAGCAGGTGTCAGAGAGAATGTCTTTATCTTTGTGTTGCAGGAGACAGCTTAGGGTAGGGAGCACCTGTTTCACAGCATCCAGGGGAGGGTGTGGGTTTTTGTTCCTGCAGAGGTTGGACAGTGTCCAGGTGATATTCCTCAGGAAGCCCACCTAAAAATAAGAATATGCTCATTGGCTGAAAACAAGCAAACAAAACACGGGGGAACAGTGTCCAAGCTCTCAAGGGTACAGAATGTACCTGGTAAACCACACAAAGATTATAAGCTAAATGTTTTACTTCATGGCAGGTATTATTGGGGCCCTGACTTCAAACCACAGACCTCAGGTCTGAAGCCCTGGTCCTGTTTTTGGAACTTTCTTACTGCTTTTCAAGTTCCGAGAATGTTTTGCCTTCTAAAGAGTTTGGTAGAGCTTTAAAGCACACACCTTTATACCACAACAAAGGTAGGTATATTTGCAATTTTTTTTCAATTCACCGAGGCAAACAGCTTCTAAGATCATCGATGAGCTCGCCAGATCAGATCAACAGAACCAACTAACCCAACCAAGCAGAAATTTCTACATACAGGAGTAGCAGGTGTCACCAGTGACAGAAGAGGTGGAATCACATTGAAGCCAATCAAGGCATCTCGGTACACAGGGCCATCCCCTACAGAGAATAATTGGAACAGTAAGTGAGGTTGTACCTTTAAAAAAAAACAACTATCATGGATCTATATACTAGCTCAGATAACTTAAGCTGGTCAGATCCTGCCAAGGTTCTTTTCCCAATCTCCAGCTTCAACGGTGAGGCTAGCCAGCTTGATACAAAGAACTGGGCTCATATAGTATACTAAAGCTGGAGTAATAAAATTGCTGTGGGCATATAATGCACAATGGTACTCCAAAACAGTCCAATGATGCCTTCACTGATGACCTGGCACACCTCCATGCTGAGATGATGGTTGGGTGCCTACAGAACAAGAACTGATGGTCTTTGTTGTGGTATCAAAGAAGCAATTTGTATCCTCTCCATTAAGATAAGAGCCAGTTGGAAAGAAGATAAAAGGGAATAGAGAAACCATTCCTTGACACATCCACTAATAAATGAGAGCCAAGGTACACCGTTTCCTATTCCATTTCCAAGATTCTGTAACCTGCCATCTTCAAAACAAGGCAGCACCACAACTTACCCGCAATGTTGCCTAGTGCCCACACCGACTGCTCACAGATGTGGACGTGTGGAGAAGACAAAAGAATGACCAAGCCTTGAATGCCATTGGCTTCTACAACAGCTTTCGTTTGGTCAGAGGTTCCTGAAGCAATGTTGGTGAGGGCCCAGGCAGCCTCAAACTGCAGGTTGGGAGCATCATGATGATACAAGAACTCCACCAATTTAGGAATGACCCCAGATTCAATAACTTGATTGATTGGTGGATTCTTCTGCTTGGATAGCAACTTCCTGTTGGGAGAGAAACAAGGGCAACCTTTAATGTGACCTCACCCTGCTGGTAGAACCACAGCAACAGTGCCATTTCTCAGCCAACTTCTGGAATAATAGAGGCACCTTCTACATCTACACCAGGTGGTTATTTAGGAGCAGAGTTAACTATGCCTGTCCAGCTGTGCCCTGGTGGGATTCCCAATGGGCAGTATGGTTCTTAAGAGGCAGGAGGACGTGGGGATTGAGCGCAGCTACTCCTCAGATCGCCTTTCATGCTGGATCAGACTATCTGGATTGTGCTAGCCATAGATAGAATGTATGGCCCTGTAGCAGATGCTTCAAGCAGTCATATGCTACCTGTTAAGAGCTTCTCCAGAAACCTAGTGACCTCCATTAACAAACACTGACCAGAGCCTATTGGATCCTCTGTTCTTCTATGCCTGAGATTCAACCAAGTTAGTTAAATAATCAAAGGCAAATGGGATTGATTGGTGGGGTGCATAAGCAGCAGTTATGGCTTTGGCTCACCTGACTGCCTGTGCTGCCTTCAGCTGAAGAAATGGGTCCTCCGATTGGATCACCTCGACTATTTCTGTCAAAGAGAGCTGAGCAACCTGGACCAGGAAGCAAAAGGATTGTAAGACCAGAGCAGAGAAGTCATCAGGATACAGATGTCCAACCACAAGAGACTAAGAACTTCATCTTCTAGTCAATACAGAGTTTGCATCTATTCACACTAAGCCCAAAACAACCAGCATCATAGTTTAGTGTGCCACATGAACCAAGCATGCCAGAGTCCCCAAGTCTTTGTGATAGCCTGTTTCTGCTTTCCTCACACACTGAGCAAATCACCACCACTCCAAAACAGTCAGTGGGTGTGAGTATTCCACAAGCACGCCTACTTGTATACACAGATATGGAAAATGGCTTTATAAACCAGTGTCCTTCCAAATGTGTGTGAATTACAAGCCCAGAATCCACAACCAATATGACTGAAATTTGGAATTCTGAAAATTGCAATCCTGAAAGATTTAGACAGCATTGGTTGGAAAGGGCTGGTGTAGAAAATTAGGTATGTGGCTAGACATAATATATTCTTGGGCTAAGACTAAGATCTAGAGAGGGAGGTGAAAATTACTTTTACTATGGAGCATATCTCTTTATCACATTACTACCACCACACACCATGTTCTTCTCTTCTTTCTCAGGAGACAGGCTGCCTTCTGCAGAAAAACAGATGTTCCTTCGCTTCAAGATCTGTTCATCTTTCCTTGCTTTGCGAAGTTCAACTCTCACCTCTATTTTTCGCCTCCTTATTTCCTACCAAGGAAGAGAGTCAAGCATTATGGTTTTTAAAGCAACTAAATTATGAGCCATACAGTTGGTAGGACAGAGAGCAATAGGAACTCTGGTTTATTCAAGATGTCTGGAGAAGAGAAGATCTAATGTCTTCTGAAGTAGAACCAATTCTTATCTACTAGTGTCAGACTTCAAAGGAGGACAGCTAACAGTGTTAAGAGATTTCTCCAGGTCAAAGGGGACATATGATCTTCAACCTCCATTGACTCTTCAGGGAAAAACAGATTGTTACTTTTGTTGAAACCTCTAATCAGAACTAGTGCAAAGGAAAAACACACAGTAGCTCCAGCAATTATTAGTGCATAAATGTAAATTTGCTACTGAGTGGTTGTAAGTATCTAACGCACTTACCCATAGTTCATTGAACCATGATATACTTAAACAACCCAACCATTTGATTCACACAAGATATGGATCTAGCCGCTAAGCAAACTTGCATGAGTTCATGCAACTGCTAAACTAAACTATGGTTGACTCATTTGTAGTTCATCGTGTCATCCAACACAGCCATTATCAAAACCTAAATTAATCTGTTTGATGTGTTTAAATTAAAAAGCTTCTAGCTCTCACTGAAATGTTAAGTGGTGGTGGTGAGCTTCCCAGAAAAATTTGAACGAGAAATGTTGGGACTTCCCTAAATCCACTAAGATACAGTTGGACATGATATGAAAACTAAATAGAGAAACATAAAAAATGTTAAGATGGATGATTGATCCTTCCTTCTCACTCAAACATAGTTTTAATAGACAATTCCCTGGAAGGGAATCAATAGAGTGCATAATATGCTTTTAACCATTACAACTCAACCAATTTTAGTCATATTTTAAGACATTGCAACATAAAGCCACAGCCGACCATAAAAACAAAGAGGCCCAAAATTATCTTTTGTACCTACATGGAATACTGCTCCCCCATCATCTTGATTTGTATATAGTTTTTTTTAATAGAATTATTAATTTTAATATGGATATTTATATTTTTGTTTTTACTGTTTAATTGTGAGCCGTCCAGAGTCACCCTCTGGAGGAGAAGGGCGGCATAGAAATTTAATAAATAAAATACGCACTGAAGTCTCTTTCCCTTAGCGTTATGCCTTCACCCACTTAATGTAGGGTTATATCCATTTCCTTTCTCCTTTATTTTATGAAACCATGCATTTCTAAAACTGGGAAAAGAAAGCTGGAGAATTAATAGGGTCTCCCGAAAAGAAACCCCCTGCTCTACAGTATTGTGGTTCAGACCCTCCACGTATACCAGCTCCAGGTGGTAAATTCCACCTCCGATGCCAGGAGTATAAATTCGGCACCTTGTAACCTTCCGTCCTTAAGCAACCCCCAGCCCAATACTTACTGCAAAATCTTTGCCTTTATTTTTGAATTTCCTCATGCGTTCATCTTGCTCATTTGTGGTAGGCATGATCAACGTTCTGGAAGCACAGATTGGTTGGTAAGATGTGCCTCCACCTCACACCTAGGTGAACAGAAAAAGATTTGGCTCAGGGGTACAATTCCCCCTTATCCAAGACTCTACATTAGCCCAAGGGCCATAAACCTTCTCATTCCTATAATGCGTTCTGTTGCTCCTAACCATGCTAATTTATTTGATGGTATTTATAATCCACCCCAAACATGGGTGTCTGCAGGGTGTGCAATCAAAGTGGGTGATGCACATCACAAACATGCAAGCCTTCAGTTGCACCATCGTGACAGCCATCTTTGTTTTAATCACACCCTGCAAACACCCCTAACCACAAATTAAAAGAATTCTGGGCAACTACAAGATTGTGTGTGTGTGTGTGTGTATACACACACACACACATATACACACACAGCAACAGTACAAACAACACTCCTTTGAAATGATTTTGCTGGAAAGCCAACATATTTCACTGGGTGTTCTGAAGGGACACACACAGAGCAAGAGTTTAAGATGTGTCTTTAAAAATCTGGAACAGCAATGATGCTCTTCTAAAGTGACCTTTCTTTGGTGCAATACCTAGATTTAGCCAGACCTTGTTAAAAAAAAAATAGCTTGCAAAAAGTGAATGAAGTATGCTGAAGTTTCTACCAGCTGACCATAGGAAAGAGCCATTCTCACAGCCAAAAAGGATGCTAACTCAAAGATCAGGTTCCCATTGCTATTAAACCATGGCTTGTTGAATCAGTTCCCATGATTTATGTTCATACAACAGAAGCACAGAAACTACATCATAGCCTATTGCAAAGGGTGACCACATTCTTGCCTGGGAAATGGTTCCATCGTTACCAAAAGGGAAGGGAATAATCCGTGCATTTTTACTGCTTTCCCATTTCATCAGAGTACCAAGAAACTCAGATTCACAAAAAAATACAGTTTGAACCCAGCCATTCCAATCCAGTGATTATTTCCAACTGAAAACCTTGGGGAAAAAAATAGGGTTTTTTTTTTTCATGGAAGAGAAAAAGCAAAGATTGGTATTCCTCCTGCTTCGCAAGCTGCAACAATTTAGTTTGGGGATGAGGCTAGGGCGCCTTAATCAAGGGAGAGAAAAGGAATTTTCAAAGGCAGGACAGTTTGGTTTCAGACTAGGCTCTGGAAAAAAATAATTACTAACCCATGAACAACTGAGGAATTACTTTCAAACAGACTCAGGTGCTGCACTAACATATTTAAACAAGTCCATTGCAAACCTGCCAGCTATATTTGCATTATACACTAAGCTTTCTTAATTTTTCACCTTGAGCAGATGGGAGTTTTTCCCCCCTCTAATGTGTTTGGTGAACCCAGGGCACTTAGTTGCTGTATTGCAGTGTTTCTCAACCTTAGCAACTTTAAGATGCATGGACTTCAACTCCCAGAATTCCCCAGCCAGTCTTAAGATGCGTGGACTTCAACTCCCAGAATTCCCCAGCCAGTCTTAAGATGCGTGGACTTCAACTCCCAGAATTCCCCAGCCAGTCTTAAGATGCGTGGACTTCAACCCCCAGAATTCCCCAGCCAGCAAGGTCCACACATCTTAAAGTTGCCAAGGTTGAAAACACTGCTGTATAGTCTAAAACTCGATACAACCCCTTATGGGTTGATTATCCAGGTTAATTGAGAACCACCTGGTGAAAACCTCAGAATTAGCTTTAGCTCTTAGGTTTTAGGGCACAAATCCAACCTTATCTTTCCTTCCTTTCATTATGTTCTCGCTAACAACCTGCCTATAAGCAAAGCCCAGAACGCATAACAGCAACATATCTCGGACAGAGCATCGAATAAATGCATAAGCTTTCTTTCCGTGCCCCCGTTCCTATTCCGCCATAAATTAAAAGGCAGGCAAAAAAAAAAAAATTACGCCCCCGCTACTCACTGTCTCCCTTTACAAACCGCTTGCAAAGCAGCAGCCGCCGGGAACAAGACTTAAATTTCCCGGGAAATGGGTCAGTCGCCCAATCTCGCCCTCTGATTGGTTGAAACGTCCAAGCAGCTCCGCCCCATTCCAGGGTTCGATTCGCCTTACAAGTCGCCGGGAGAACGGCTCGGTGGGCTAGGGGGTGCTCACGGCGCCTGCGCAGGAGAGGTCACTTGTGTCTTGCACGTGTGAACGGTTGCTCATCAAGCCCGTGAGGAAGGGCGTGAGTTAAAAGGTTGCAGAGCAGCCTTTATGGGCATGCTCACCTGGAAGTAAGCCACTTTAAGTCCAATAGGGCTTTCTTCAGAGTAGACCCACATTGGCTTGAATCCCCCATGTGCAACGGGGTTTACTCCTAAATGTTGGCCATTCATTCTTCTCAGTGGCCTTACTTTCAAGCTAACATAGATGCAGAACCTGGTAACTGAATTAACTTTTTGGTCCTAACACAGTTTATGAAATCATTCCTCCGGAGACCAGCCAAATGGATTGGGGTTGAATTAACATTCACTGAGTCCCAATTCATTTGGGGATCGTTATTTGCATGCAAACCTCAGTAACTGGATGGAGTTGTTAAACGAGAGCCCTGTTCATCATGAGTTAGCAGGTGGTGTGAATGTGTGTTAGCGGGCATGTGGTCTGAACCAAGTCTCTGGGCCTGGTGGGTGCCAAGAAGGAGCCTCTGGGAATTCTAGAGCAGTGTTTCTCCACCTCGGCAACGTTAAGATGGGTGAACTTCAACTCCCAGAATTCCCCAGCCAGCCATGCTGGCTGGGGAATTC